TTGTACAATGTATAATCACACGTACATGTGCTTGTTTAATGTTTATATGGAAAAGTTACAGATACATGTACATGTATGTCCCAGCTTTGTACAAATGCTTTGCTTGATTTTTTAAGAGGGATGCATCTTTCAAGATTCTAGAAGCCAACTGTGTACTATTTAATAACTACATTATAATGTACATGCACTTAACCCCTTTTTTACATGTAGGTGAAGTGGCGGCCAGTCATTTGGGGCCTTGCCTTGCAGTTTATCCTTGGTCTTTTCATCTTGCGCACATCCATCGGGTTCGAGATCTTCAATTTCTTGGGTGATGTCGTCCAGACGTTCTTGGAGTTCACCGACGCAGGATCTGAATTTGTGTTTGGCGCCGGCTTTCAGGAACACTTTTTTGCTTTCAAGGTGAGTTTGCCAAGTTCTGCTGCATTTGTTTGGATTTTTTACATCTCCTGTTACATTGAAGAGCCTCTGTTTTCTTTTGCAATTGTTGTAATTGCCAGTGTCAACAGCTCGCTTCTTGCTCAGAGTTTGCACCTGATTTCTTGCATCACTCCCTGGCGAGACAAAATCAAAAACTCAGAAATCCCTGCCTCTCACATATAAGTTAGTCATGCATTTCATCTTGAACTGAATTCACAACTTCAAACTCATTTGCTTTGTGTGCAGACTCCAGACTGTTGGAATGTCACACCATTGTTCGTTTTGTCTGGTCTGTTGGTTGAAGCATGCAACAGTGTGTACATGTAGGTGCTGAATGCCAACTCACTCAGTTTCAAAACATTAATCCCTATACGCTGACTGCCTTTAGCATTAGGCATAAAGGTATTTAGCTTGAGGCATTTGTTCTTCAAAAGTGTAGAACTCACTGGATGGATTTACACATAGGATCAGTGTTGGAGCAACAGAGATTGTAAATCATCCATAGTGTCTTTCGATATTCACCACGAATTTATCAGGCCTTCTTGTTGTTTGCTCTCCCTTTGTCTTGGGAATGTGCCCACAAAGTAGAAGCCTTGGTTCCATGAGGTTAAAGAGCCTATGCAAAGCAATTTTCTAATGTAGTTCTTGAAAATCTGCCCTTGTATTACTTTTGACTCTGTTTGTAATTTTTGTTTTGAAGGGTAGTTGGGTGATCTTTTTGGCTTTTGTACTTGTAGTGGATAATGTACATGTACACTTCTTGTAAGCACAAGACACGCTCCCAGCTGGGTTCAATCCCCAGCTGTTGTCTTTTTTATTTTTGTCCCCAAAACTTAAGAATTTTCTTCTTTTGTTGTTTTTGAATTGACTTCAACATTTAATCACAGTGTATGACATTTTCTTTGTCTGACTCTTGGCTCTGTGAGAATTTTTGTTGTGGTCAAAAAGTCCAAAATTGAAAAAACGTTTTGATTCCCTCCTTGTGAATATGACATCACAACAACCATGTTGGCACAGAACCAGACTAACATTTGTCACAGTAAAAAAAATCA